TGAGAGGTCAGGTCACTTTCTCTGACCTCCTGAGAGGTCTTGTTTTTCCACTACACTGGGTGACGTCAAACATTTTGACCTTTGCCCATCTGAGAAAGCAAAACAGCATGTGCTTGTTTTAAGTTGTCTCTAGTTATTTAAAAGAGAGGCTGATAATTTCTTCTCCAGTTGATTAGTCACTTAAATTTCTTTTCTGTGAATTGCTCATTCATGTTGTGGGGGATCAGAATTTGCCACCCCAAAATGTGTCTTTGCATTGATGATGATGATGATGATGATGATGATGATGATGATGATGATTATTTTTGGTGAGGAAGATTAGCCCTGAGCTAACATCTGTTGCCAGTCTTCCTCTTTTTGCTGAAGAAGATTGGCCCTGGGCTAACATCCGTGCCCATCTTCCTCTACTTTATATGGGATGCCCGCCGCAGCAAGGCTTGATAAGTAGTGCATAGTTCTGAGCCCAGGATCCGAACCTGCCCATCTTGGGCTGCCAAAGCAGAGTGTGCAAACTTAACCACTACGCCACCAGGCCGGTCCCTGCATTGATTATTTTTAAGAACCAAAGACTCTGAAAGAAACTTTGACCTTCCCCCTAACCGCCTAAAAGAATTAAAATAGAAAGTCTGTCCCAGGAAGGAGCTAATACCATAAGATAACTATAGCATATTATAAACTAGGTGTGGTAGACAGGAAGGCACTAGCAAGCCCATTTTTATCAAAGTTCTCTCTCAGGTCGCATTGTGTATAGATGGCCCAGCAAATATTTGTTTATCAAACATTTGCTTTCCCATCTCCATGTATATTGCTTTCCTCCCCTTTGAAGTCCCAAACCACTACCCCCAACATCCTCCTATGTCTTTAGCTGAAGATGGTATTTAAAGTGGTGGCTTCTGGCATTTTGGTAAGTTACTCAGATTTCCTGGGTTTCTCTCATGTATACATGTTATTAAACTTTGCTTGATTTTCTCCTGCTGTTCTGTCTCATGTCACTTTAATTCTTAGACCAGCCAGAAGGACCTAAAAGGTAGAGGAATAGTTCTTCCTCCTCTACAATGTCTTTGCCCATTTTTCTGCCGGATTACTGATATTTTTCCTATTGCTTGATGAGAGTTTTTACACATAAGGGACTTCACTTCATTTACACATAAGGGATTTCACTTCATTTGTCCTGTCCCCCACCCCCCAACCCAGTTTGTTGGTTGTCTTTTGACTATGTGGTATGTTTTTTTCCTTACAGAAGTTTTAAATTTGTGTGTGTGTGTGTGTGTGTGTGTGTGTGAGGAAGACTCGCCCTGAGCTAACATCCGTTGGCAATCTTTCTCTTTTTTTTTGCTTGAGGAAGATTCGCCCTGAGCTAACATTTGTGCCCATCTTCCTCTATTTTGTATGTGGGACACCTCCACAGTATAGCTGACGAGTGGTGCAGGTCTGCCCCCAAACCCGCGGACCTGGGCTGCTGAAGCGGAGTGCACAGAACTTGAACCACTCAGCCACGGGGCTGGCCCCAGTTTTAAATTTTTATGCGGTCATATGTATTGTTCATTTTATTTCTGACTTTTGTTCTCTATTTCTGGTTGGTTTCTTTTGTCTCTTGTTTTTGCCATGCTTAGAAAGGCTTGTTCCACTCTGAGATGATTTATAAAAGATAGTCATTGAAGATTTCTTCTGGTTTGGGTTTTTATTTGAAGTCTTGACCCCTCCAGACATGTGTCAACAGAAGGGGTGTGAAAGGGGTTCAAATTTATGTTTTCCAAGATCTGGCCAGTTGCCCCCACACCGTTTATTCAATAAACAGCTTTGCACAATGGGTTTGAAACACCACCTTTGTCACATACTGACCTCTCTTATGTGCTAGGACCTGTCTCCACAGTCTCGGTTCTGCCTGCCTATTCCTGCTCCGGCCAGATTCTTTTCCGTGTGAATAAATGGAGACCCGGGGCTGCTGGCAGAAGTCTGGAAAGGACAGGAAGTCAGGGATGGAAACCAGGCTCCAGAAACAGATCCATGAGCAGCTGCTCAGCACTAGGCAACCAAAGGGGGCCGAGGCGCCCTCAACTGCTCCACAAAGTCAGAAGGGAGAGTTGCTTAGGGCTCTGACACCACACAGGAAACCCCAAACGGGCTTGAAGGGCTAAGGGACAGGGAAAAAAGGAGCTCTGAGTCCCTCAGGACATCGCTGACCCAGACCTGGTGGGCCTGGATGCTGCCTTCCAGTGGGACCAGGGGCAGAGCCCCCATGTCACAAACCTACAGGAGAAAGGGAAAGACCAGGTGAAGGGGGGTGGGGCCTGACCCCAGGGCAAACTCTCCCTTTCCCTCCGCAAAGCAGGTGTCCCAGCAACGGTCAATCCTGCAGCCTACAGGGAAAAAAAATCTGTGTGTCCTGTCTGTATGGGAACAGAGTGTTCTGAAGTCAGTTTCCGAGCTGCAGGGGTGGGTGGAGGGGAGGGACGGTGCCTCTCACATCCGCAGGCCAGAAATAATAGAGGCCTCATTAGTCCTCCAGCCCCACATGGCCTGCTGACTTCTGTTCTTTTTTTTTTTTTTTTGTGAGGAAGACCAGCTCTGAGCTAACATCTATTGCCAATCCTCCTCTTTTTTTTTCTCCCCCAAAGCCCCAGTAGATAGTTGTACGTCATAGTTGCACATCCTTCTAGTTGCTGTATGCGGGACGTGGCCTCAGCATGGCCGGAGAAGCGGTGCGTCGGTGCACGCCCAGGATCCGAACCCGGGCCACCAGTAGCGGAGCGCGCGCACTTAACCGACCGGTAAGCCACTGGGCCAGCCCCTGTTTTGTCATTTTAAATTAAAGAAAAGTTGCAAGAATAGTGCAAGGAATACTCATGTACCTTTTACGCAGATATTCTAACTGCTTTACATTTTCCCCATTTGTTTTCTGTTTCCTCACTCTCATTCTCTCTCTCCATATGTCTATGGAGACAACAGCCGGCCCTGGGTATCCCCGGGTGCCCCATCTGCCGATTCACCCAACCACTGTTCCCCACCCGCAGATTCAACCAACCACGAATTGTAAACATAGGACGTGATCTGAGGTTGGCTGAATCGGGAGATGGGGCACCCGGGGATACCGAGGGCCAAATAAGGGCCTTGAGCATCTGCCATTTAAACACACACGCACACGTACATATGTATGTATGTATGTATATCTTTTTACCTGAACCATTTAAGAGTAAGTTGAAGGTGTTATGCCTCTTTATCCTTAAATACTTCATTTTCTCATATAACCACAGCACAGCTGTCAAAATCAGGAAATTTAACATTGATAGTTATCTAATGTAGTCTATTAAATGTAACTTTTATATTAAAATCTTATAGCAATATAAAAATTTATATTAGATAAAGGAAGAAAATTTAAATTGCCCACAATTTCACCCTGTAGGTTAACTGCCGTTACATGTGTACATCCTTCCAGTCTTTTTTTCTATATCTATAGATATCTACATACAGACTGTCCTGTGCCCATATATATGTCTATGTATCCTTCTTAAATGAAAATAGGATCACACGGCGGGTGACACTTTTTTGTTCTCTTTTGCTTGCCTTAAGGCATTGTGCCTTAAAAGGGCACAACCTAAGGGAGCAATTCTCAGCCAGGTGTGGTGACAACATGGGTTTCCCGCCAGCAGCTGTGAGGTGCCTCACAAGGAATTTGTTACAAATATTAAATGAAGTCCTACAGTTTGTGGGTCATTTCCTTTAAAACTCTAGAATGGATTCAAGTTACATCTATAATGTCATTCTCACTTGCCTGCATCCTGAAGATTTTTGAATATTTTAATGTTTCAAATTACACAGTACATTTAAATACTCATTCCATTCTTATCCTAAAAGATTCAAAGAATCCAGATAAAGCCAACACCCCTCCATGTGTTCCCAACTCCACTCCCCCTAGGGAGGAGCAGAGGCATCAGGTGTGGATCCTCCACAACCTTTTCTCTGCATTCACACGCACTGTGCACACACTCACGCGTGTCGTTTTGTGAGTGTTACGTAAGGTCATTGAGATGGTCCTATACCGTGTCATTGAGCATCTTGCTTTTTGTCATGTAACAATATGTCTTGGAGATCTAAACATAGGTCTCTTTCTAATGGCTACATGGTGGTCGGCTGCTTAGAGGTATTTATTCCCGACTGATGAATATTTAGGCTATTTCCTATTTTTACTATAATTAATCATTCTTGAACTGCTGGCTACTCAGAGCGAGGGAGACGGGCGGTGGGGTGCGGAGGGAGGTGGGTGGACACAGCTGGCTCCTTGGGAATTAACTGCACACAGCCCTGGAGAGGCCAGAAGTACGTCCTACCTGTGGATGTCATTGTCTTCACGGTCAAGGTGTTAGCCCCGAGGCCTTCAGGGACAGATCCAAATGTCAGGTGGAGCCCAGGACAGAGCAGACAAAGAAGTGAAGCAACAGACAGGACAAAAACTGGTTTGGAAGCTGTAACAAAGGAGTAGGCAAACTGTATCTGTAAAGAGCCAGAGAGTAGATATTTTAGGTTCTGGGGGTCATTTGTCTCTGACACAACTACCCAACTCTGCTGGTCTAGCTCAAAAGCCAGCACGGACAACTTGTAAACAAATGAACGTGGCTGTGCTCCGATAAAACTTTATTTATGGATGCTGAAATTTGAATTTTATGTAATTTTTACATGTCACGCAATAATATTCTTTTTTGATTTTTTTCCAACTGTTTAAAAACATAAACATAAACATTCTTAACTTGTAGGTCATACAAAAATGGGCATCGAGCCAGAGGTAAGTCCACGTGTGGTCAGAAGCTGTCATTTTTGTCACGCCCTCTCAGCAGGCTCGGGCATCACACAGCGTTGACCTGGGCTGGACCTCCCCTGGAGCCTGCTCGATCCAGGCCAGGAAATGCCGTGGAGATTTGCATTCGTGTCCAGGGCTGTGAGAAGAATGGCCTCTTGCTGGGGCGGGTGGACAAACGAAGGTGCTTTGGGCGCGGGGGAAAGCCGAGGGCTGGTGGGAAGGGGAAGCGGTCACGGTCTTTGCAGAAGCTTCACGATCGGGTGCACACCAGCGAGGGTGCAGGTCTGTCAGGACTCCTGGAAGATGGTTTTCAAAATCATCTGCAGCAGGAAGAAAAGATACAGAAGGCTCTTATGAGGACCTCTCGGGAGGAATTTGGTTAAAGAAACAGGCTGCATTAGCGATCACAGAAATGTCACTTAAAATGAGCGCTCTCCCATCTCTCATTGGAAATGTTCCAATAAGTCTCCCAACCACACGCAGACTTACCTCCGGCTCGAGGCCTGCTTTTGGATGACCCACGAGCTAAGGATGGCTTTACGTTTTTAAACGGTTGGAAAACAAATCAAAAAAGCATATCTTGTCATGACATGTAAAAATTCAAATTTCAGCATCCATAAATACAGTGCTCTTGGAGCACAGCCATGTTCATTCGTTTGTGAGCTGTCCGTGCAGCTTTTGAGCTGCAGTGGCAGAGCTGAGTAGTGGTGTCAGAGACCACATGGCCCCCAAAACCCAAAATATTTATTTCTTGGGTTGTTAAGGGATGTCATTTATGGGTGTTTGTTTTTTCCCCAGTTAAAAACAGTAATACATGTTAGTAGTAGAAAATATGGACATGAATTTTTAAAATGCACTTGTAACATCCCTAGCGAATGGTTTTTTTCATGTACACACATGTGCCTCTAAGGGTCTAGCTGTCTGTGTATTTAAAACCAGGAAAATACTGGATCACTTGTTTCTTGTGTTTTTGCTCTCACATCTAAATCAATTTGACACATCCTAACTGATTTTCACAAACTTCGTTTCATTACCCAATTATATCATAATTTCACCTCATTGAACATTCAGGTTGTTTCTAAGGTTTGGACATTAACAAAGCTGCAGAGACTATCTTTGTGTGTTTCTGTGATTATCCTGGAGGCAAATTCCAAGCAGCAGAATTACTGGGTCAGTGGGTTTGGATCCATCTTGCTAGGCTGTGCTCCTGAAACGTGGGGCCAACATGTGCTCCCACTGGCAGAACTGGAGAGGACTCCTTTTAACACCTCTTCACCAGCACTGGGCATAATTACAACATTTCCAAGGAGAGGTGGGAAAGGACTGTCATTTTCAGTTACATTTCCGCGATTACTAATGCAGTTTAATCTTCCCCCATGTTTACTGGCGATTTAAATTTCTTTTTAAATTGTTTCTTACTTTTTTTCCATTTTTTCTATTTATTTCTGTTCCTAAAGAGAAATAAGAACTGTTCTTATTGATTTGAAGGTGCTCTTTATATAGTAAGGATATTAACTACATGAATCAAAACCAAATGCCACAAAAGCCCCACCGAGGTGGCAGCTGATTAAAAAGTGAAGCTAGCAGAGTGCCCACTTTCTGAGAAAAAGAGAAAAAAAGTAGTAACTCTATCTACCGGGTCTGTGGCAAATATTTTTCCCAATTTATCCTTTAACTTATAAAAGGCTTTTCCATGTTAAAATCATAATAAACATTTATGCAATCAAATCTGTCCATCCTTTCCCATATGGAGCTGGCTTTTGCTTTTGTGCTTACACACGGACAGGCGAATACTTCTTGTCCCTGCCTCTCTCATCCGCACCACAGCCCCCTGCAGATCCCACCTGTGTGCCCAGGACCAGACTCTGAGGCTCACCTGGGGCTGTATCAGGGAGGTGAAGGATAGGAGGCAAGTGCGGCACTCGATCCCTATCGTCAGGTCCCGCAGCCTCCTGGATGCCCAGGAGCCAGCCGAGTGGCTCCTCTGCTCCCCGCCTACCCACCTCTCCTATGTGTAGGGGCTACAACAGGATCCCCGGCATCTTCAGTGAAGGGACACATCCCACCTGGGTGAGCACATAGTCCTTCTGGGTTAGGTTCCAAATGATCTCAAAGTGATCCACGTCATCAAGTTCTTCAAACGAGGCTTTCCACCCTCCTCGGTGCAGAGTCTGGGTAGGAGAGACAAGGGAAAAGGAAGCATGAGGTTGCCGGAGAGGACAGGGACTCTCGCGTCATGCCTGCACAGGCCAGGTGCTCACTAAGTAATTGTTGAATGAAAGACTGACAGTCTTGGGGTCCATTTGGGTAAAACACAGGGGAAGAAAATGAGATTGCATGACCTTTGACCTCTGGCCAAAAGCAGGGTGCTGGGGGTACCTGATAAAACTCCCTTGACTGTCGGTGGTATTCAGGGGTGTCATGTTGGCCCACAATCACCAGGATGTGGCAGGCTGGATCCACAGGCTGTGTCAGGGCCACCTCCAGGTGCCGCTGGGGGCTGTTCCTCTGAGCGTCCTCCCTGGTGCAGGCAGTGGGCATCAGAGAGCAGGGTCAGGACAGAGAGAAGCCTTTGCTTCACCCCAGCCTTCCCCCACAGGTTCCAGGCCAGCTGGAGGAGGTGGGGGACAAGTGACTCACACGGACATGAGGAGAGCAGCGTTCTGAGAGGTGTGCACAATGGGCTCCAGGTCGTAGATGCCACTTATCAGGAGAAAGCCTGTGAAGGTGAAGAACAGTCACAGGGCCAGGCTTCAGGTAGAACCAATGCCCCACCAGGCCAGGCCTGAAGCAGGCTCAGTGGGGACAGGATGGAGCCAGCCCAGCCTCCAGGGTCAGAGGGACAAGACCAGGGTAGGGGCGGAGAGGAAGCAAAGCAGGCCCAGCTCTCAGGGCTCAACGTCCCCAGGTCAAGCCACTCGCACCTGTTGGGATTTTGAGCAGCTGGTGCAGACCCCCAGGCCCATCAAGGGGAGGGTAAAGGCTGCCCGGCCAGGCTGCAGTCCCCACAGAAACCTTTGAGGTTGGGCGTGACTCCATGCTTGGTCCAGTTGGCCAGGAGCATCATGGCGGCCAGGTGGGCCCCAGCTGAGTGTCCACACAGGTAAATTCCCCTAGGACGGGTCAGAGCAGAGGGCCACACTTGAATTCAGTTTCCCCAAAGCATCAGGCCAGTATCAAGGAGTCCCAATTTGCCTTCTGCTCCACAGGCCAGAAGGGGCAGCTGGGCTGCATCCAAGGGGCTGAATCCACTGGCCACCCACCCTGCGTTGTCCAACAAAAGGAAAACCTGCAGTGATACCCACTCATTGCACGGATACCGCTTCTGGACAAAGGCGACGCTCTGGGTCACCTGGTCTACCATCTGGTCCAGGGTGCCTGCACAGAGAGTACAAGCTGGGTCAGGATCCATCGCGGGCTCTCTCCCCTCCAAAGCCCACCAGCCTTCGAACCTACAAGACCACCCTCATTACCTTTGGGGGCAATGTCATAAGCCACTACCACTACGGCCACTCCCTTGGCTGTCAGTGGGCTGACCATGAAGGCTGATGAGTCTTTACTGCAGAAAGAGACAAAGACGTGACAACTGGAGGCAACGTGGCCACTACTGCTTCTGTGTCCTGTCCACCCCCAGCATGGCCCCTCCTTGACCCCGTGCAGTATGGGGAAGAAGGTAGACTCTGTCCTTACCACATCACATGCTAGCTTTGGGGCCCTGGGGACTTTATTTAACCTCTAAGCCTGGTTTCCTCATCTGTATAACAGAGAAAATTATGTTTCTTCTCTTAGGGTGCTGTGTTTGAGAATTGAAGGTGATCAGACATGTAGAAAGCTTCGCATGCCAAAGGGCACAGGTGTAGTAAATGAGGACGAATATACTTGAAGGGTGTGGATCCCACAACAGGCAACTGTTTAGTAAGATCCTAGGGAAAACAGAGTCCTTGAAGATCCTGAATACCTCTCTGCTCATCTCAGGGTGGCCAGCTGTCTCGGTTTCCCCAGGACTCTCTCTTTTTCACCACTGAAAGCCCCATATCCTGGAAATCCCTCAGTCCCGAGAAAACTGGGATAGTGGGTCACTGTGGCTTTCCCCTTGATTACAGAGTAGACTGAAGACGCTTCTCACCAGGTACAGTGGGTAGAATAGTGCCCTCCCAAAAGAGACGTGCAAATCCTAACCCCCAGTACCTGTGAATGTGACCTTATTTGGAAATAGGGTCTTTGCAGATGTAATTAAGAATCTGGAGATGAGATCATCCTGGATTTAGGATGGGTCCTAAATGCAATGACTGGTGACATTGTTAGAGAAAGGAGAGGGAGATTGGAGACATAGACAACACACAAAGACGACCAGGTGACGATGAACGCTGAGACTGAGGTAACGCGGCCACAAGGCAAGGAAGACAGACCCACCAGCAGCGGGAAGAGGCAAGAATGGGTTCCCCCTGAGAGCCTTTGGAGGGAGCGGGGCCCTGCCAACACCTGGATCTCAGATCTCCGGCCTCCAGAACCCAGAGAGAATACATTTCTGTTGTTGTAAGCCACGCGTTTGTGTAATATGTTGCAGCAGCCACAGGAAACTAATACCCCAGGGAAAGATAACATCTTCCTTTTTCTCAATTCATCCAAATTCCCAGGCTCACCTTCCACTCTGCCAGTATCCTCCATGAAAAAACACAAAGAAGGGCAAAGCTGTAAGAGAAACAGAGGAGGCATGGGCTGCAGCAGGGCGTCCAGCCGCGCTCTGCTGAGGGACCACCGCCCTGTCCGCTCACCCTCAGACTCTTCCTCAGGAAAGTAGATGTCCAGTCTCTCTCCTTCCCTGTGTCCATAGGGGATGTGCAGCAGGCTCCCCCTGGTGGCCTGGGCCCTCTTGGTGGCTGTTGCAGGAAAGGAACAAATGGGTGTCATCACAACCTCAGGCAGCAGCAATTTCGATTTTGTTTCCAGTAGAAACCTTTTTGCTGAAAGTCCCTGTGGGTTGACGGGTCAGCTCCAGCTGTCGGTGCCTCCCCAAGTCCTCAGGAAAGTCTGTGCTGGGTTCTGAAGCATTTCACGTGTGTGTAGTTGCGGAGACCAGACTGTCTCATCCAAGTGGGACAAATACTACCTGCTGGCGTCTATGGATAAGTGAGCTCCCGGTTCTGACAGGCACCATCTGACCACGAGTTTATCACATGCTTGTTATGTGTGTTACACTTCGCTATGCGCTCTGGGAAGTATAACCTTTTCCGAGTACTTGGAAAAGTAATCTAGGAACACAAGATGTCAACTCCCTTGAAATAAATAGATAATGAAACAGTATGAAGACATAATTGAGTGCCACGATGGGAGAGGTCAGAGTGATGCGAAAATTGGCTGGGACTTGGGTTTAGAGGAAGGAGGAAGGGTACTACAACAGAAATAAATACTGCAGGCAGAGGTGTGGAGATGGGAGTGGACTCGTATATTTATGCTGCAGTAAAAAATGCCCCCAAATGCTCCCCTAACAATCACCAAAACCAGGCAACTTAGCTCCCTCCAACACTGGGCACTGGAGAGAGTGTAAACTGGTAAGCTCTTCTGGAGGGCAACTTGGACATATGTATCAAAGCCCAAGAAGATCATATTCCTTGATGCATTAGTCCCTATCTATACATTTCTTATAAGGAAATAGTCAGAAATATTCCCAAGGACTTGTTTTAAAGATGCCCACGGTAATGCTATTTATAATAGCAAAACACTGGGCACAGCCCAAGTGACCTGTAATAGAAGACTGGTTATATACTTTATAGTATATCCTCTTTCTCTGACTTATTTTTTATCCCAGCATTCATCCATCCTTGATATGTTTTTCACCTTGTTTACTGTTTGTCTGCACCCTCACTAGAACATGAGCTCTGTGAAGACAAGGACTTTGCTTTGCCCATGTAAACCCACGACCTGATACATAGCAAGCATTTAAAAATAATTGTGTGAAAAAAAAGAAAAAGAAAATTATGTAATGAATAAAGATTTCAATAAGCAGTGCTGGGTCAACTGAGTCTCCAAATGGAAAAAGAAGTTTCTTGACCCCTACCTCACACCATACCAGATCAATTCCAGATGGACCACAGATCTAAATGTGAAAGAGAAGACAACAAAACTCTTAGAAAAGAAAACAGATCTTCATGATCTTGGAATAGGCAAAGATCACATAAACTGGATCTAAAATGCACTAATGAAAAAGGAAAAACTGAAGAGTTTCCCATGATGTAAAGAGCAAAAACAGGCTGCAAGTACCATATAGCACGATCAGTGCAACCTTTCTGATATCAAAGACCTGTGGCAAGAGACCTGCAACTTGGGATCCACGTCTCTGAAGGCCCCCAGGTCCCCAACCCTGGTGGCCATCGTGTGCCCAAAAAAGAAACAGTGCTCCACTGGGTTGGGTGATTCCGCAATTCCAGAAGAGGCAAACTTGGTAGGTAGAATAGTTTGTAGAAATTGTGTTTACGCAAGTGTGCATAAACTGTTAAAATGGCTGTCTCCATTTCAGCTGGACCACTCAAGGCCAAGAGAAATAAAAATGATGGTAGATGCCAAGCTTCCCACGTGCCAAATTCAGGGACTAGGCTGCCTTTGCAGGACAGGCAAAGTGGCTCCAAAACCAGTTTTGCCATCACTGACCACGTCTACCAGCCCCCCTGACCTTGGAGTGAGGGGCAAGGCCGGGGGGAGGCTTCTTAGGAGAGAGATATGGCACGCTGTGGGTCCCCACTCTCTTTCCCATGGAGGGGTCAGGGGAGACTTCCCAGCTCATAAACCTTTCACTGACCAGCTGCTCAGAGCCTGATGTGTGACTTCTGTAAGGATCTAATGACCAGAATAAAACATGCTCCATGTGTGTCCACGTGCCATGCTGGACGCAGACCACTCTGCAGGGCATGCTTAACAGAATCGATCTATTATTACATGAATAAGTTTTAATTAATTAGAACCATGAGATTCTGTGAAGCGACTCAAATATTTTGCATTTGCGATTATAATTTGAAGTGGGGTTTTTTTGTTTGTTTGTTTGTTTTTTGTGAGGAAGATCAGCCCTGAGCTAACATCCATGCTAATCCTCCCCTTTTTGCTGAGGAGGAAGACCGGCTCTGAGCTAACATCTATTGCCAATCCTCCTCCTTTTTTTTTCCCCCCAAAGCCCCAGTAGATAGTTGTACGTCATAGTTGCACATCCTTCTAGTTGCTGTCTGTGGGACGCGGCCTCAACATGGCTGGAGAAGCAGTGCTTCAGTGCGCACCCAGGATCCGAACCCGGGCCGCCAGTAGCGGAGTGCGCCCACTTAACCACTAAGCCACCGGGCCAGCCCTGAAGTGTTTTTTAAAAATTAAACAAACATTTTGTAAACTGTGTGTAAATGTTTAGGGGAATTTAATTTGCGAAAGTTATGAGCTAACTGAGTTAATTAATAAATAAGTGGACCCAGCAGTTAAAGTGCGGTGCACTCCACTTAGGCAACCTGGGTTGGGTTACCGGGCTCGGAACCACACCACTCGTCTATTAGTAGCCATGCTGTGGCAGAGGCTCACACAGAAGAACAAAAAGAACTTACAACTATACACAACTATGTACTGGGGCTCTATGGGGGAAAAAAGGAAGAAAAAGGAGGAAGATTGGCAACAGATTTTAGCTTAGGGCGAATCTTCCCCTGAAAAAAAACAAACAGTGAATGCCATTAATTTTTCTTATAAAGAAATAATATGTTTATATGGTTAAAAAAATACACAAAAGGCTCTTCAGTGAAATGCTCCCCCCCCCATCTGCCTAGTTCCCCACCTCTGCCAAGGGGACCACCATTATTAATATGGATATAGAATCTCCCTCCCGGGCCGGCCCCGCGGCTTAGCGGTTAAGTGCGTGCGCTCCGCTACTGGCGGCCCAGGTTCAGATCCCGGGCGCACACCGACGCACCGCTTCTCTGGCCATGCTGAGGCCACATCCCACATACAGCAACTAGAAGGATGTGCGGCTATGACATACAACTATCTACTGGGGCTTTGGGGGAAAAAAAAAAAAAAAGAATCTCCCTCCCTTTAACCCAAATGGCAGCACATTAAAGACATTTCTGCCCTACCTGTTTCACTTAATATCTCTTGAAGAGCTTTCCCAACCAGTCCATAGAGAGCTTCCTCATTCTTTTCTCTTTGAAACAGTTACTTGGTATTCCATCCTACGGCTCTATTTAACCAGCGGCACCAGTTGCTTAGGCCAAACAAACCATGTCGAGTCATCAGGACATTCTCTTGGCTCTCCCTCCCCTGCTTATTCAGAATCTCCAGTCTCCTCCTCACCCCCTGAGACCACCCTGGATCCCCCTGCACTTCTCCCCTGGGAGGCGGTGACAGCCCCTCACTGCTCTCCTGCTTCCACAGGACCCCCCACAGCCACAGGTGTGAGGCAGGTAGAACGGGCATCACACCCCATTGCTCCAAGGCTCAAATGCAGCCGGGGCTCCTGTCTTAGTCGGCTCGAGCTGCCATGACAACACACCACAGAGTGGGGGGCTTAAACAACCGACGCTTATTTCTCACAGTTCAAGATCAAGGCGCCAGCAGGGTTGCGGTATGGCGAGGGCCCTTCCCTCGGGCGGCAGACGGCCGCCTTCTTGCTGTGCCTGTGCATGGCGCTCTCTCCCTTTCTAGGGAGGCAAGCTCCCTGGTATCTCTTCTAATACTCCCACCAGATCAGGACCCTACCTTTATGACCTCATTTAACCTTAATTACTTCCTTAGAGGCCCCATCTCCAAATACAGCCACACTAGGGGTTAGGGCTTCAACCTCTGAATTTGGGAGGCACGCAAAGATCAGTCCTTAACAGCTCCCACATGCCCCCAAAGGCTCTGGAGCTCTACAAAATCAACTCTCCCCTGTCCACCCTCTCCGAGGGGCTGGCCCTGACCACCCTAACACCCACGCTCCGCCATCCCCTTCACCCGCTCCGTATCTCCCACAGCACTTGCCCCTTCTGACCGACTGTGACATCCACTTATTCCTTATGTTAATTGTCTCTCATCCTGCCCCGCCCACTAAGAATCACAGTGATACAGGGCAGGGGTCAGTCTGCTTTGCTCACAGACAGATCCCACGCACATAGATGAGTGGGCAGCACACATTAGGCCTCCAATAAATATTCGTTGAATGGATCAGTAGATGATGAACCACTCCTCTACCGAGAGGCATCTGGGCTTGGCTGTCACAGACAACCCTGCCGTGAAGAGCCCTGCACATACATTATGACACTTGTCTGCAAGAATCTGTAGGGAATGCTCTTGGCACGAGCACGGTGTGAAGATGTTTGTGCCTGACAAGCTCATCAACAGACTGCGTTCATCAAAAGGTAGCAATTTAATTAGCACAAGAGTTCTTAAAGTATACACGGACCAACTAGATTTATGTTGTGCCAAAACTAGGAAGATGATTGTGAAATTTATGTTCTAAGAAGAGCAATTAAAACCAAGCAGCTGTAGATATTCATTATCATGCACAAGCCTCCCTAAGATGTTAAAAAACTCAGCTGACCCTGAGAAAGAGAAACTGCCTCTCTCTAGGAGGTGGACCAGTGGTCAGTGGCAGGCTGCTGGGTGCAGGGACAGAGAATGAGTATGAATTCCGCCAGCCCTCCAGTCCCTGAACCCAAAGGCAGGAAGACAGGAGGGCAGGAAGACGAGACACCCAGAATAAACCTTATGACAAACTTCCTTCTTTGATAAAGCAAAAATCGGGTTTCTATTAGTCACAACTCAAAGTGTCAAAACTCTTATCGAGAGAAACTCCAGCCTGGGGAAGCCAGGTCCATGGACCCAACTGAGAATTGTTTTGGAGCAATTAGGGGAGGGGGGGGCCAGAGCCCCTAGC